CGGGAGGCGGTTATTTCTGCTCAAGAACTTCACGTTTTCAGAGCGTCAGTAACTTTTATTGAATAAAGTTGTTTTGAGGATTACTTTTATTCGATCGATCAGACAGAAGATCACGTGTTCAGTTAGCACACCTGAGATCTAACACTTTACTTTGTGTACCTCAAATGGAATTATGAATAAAAGTTTCTCGTTTTTCTTTTGTTTGTTTTTTTTTTTTCATAGCCTGATCTTAGCGTTTTTCACTAGGTAATTAGTGACATTTAGCACCACTTTTACGTGAAACGGCAAACGTCAGCTTGCCCACTCACGTTTCAGCTAAAATAGGACGAATCTTGCGCCTTTAGCTTCGCGTGATTTTGGTACTATTTTTTCGGCAATTAACTTCTACTTTCATTTAATTGTGAACTAAAAAGTGAAGAAAATCATACATACACGGCAAACGTGAAACAGGTTACTTTCACGTGGAAACGGCAAAGCTCAACCGGCAAACGTAAAAAAAAGACGGGAAAAACATGGTCACGTGATCACTCTTGCCGTTCTTGTTTCACGTAAACGCGGTGCTAAATCTCTCTATTATCGCAATTTGTTCCTTTCAAATTATCGCAAAGGGGTTTTCACATCCTTTACACATTTTCTACTCAGTTGTTTACAAAGTTTCATAAAAAACTGATCTAAAGGCCTTTTTTTTTCCTGATTACTCATACACGAATGTCATTGAAGGGACCAATCGTCATTTATCACGGGGGGAGGGGGGAGGAGGACTTTGAATGGGAGCACATGGTTTTCAGGGAGGGAACGGAGGAGAGTCAATCGTCGCCAACAGGTAAACTTTATCATTACAAAATCCTCCGAACCCACCTCTCCTCGCGATGAATAATGTGACTTAAGCTGTTGAATTGTATTTCTATTCAGCTTCTTGTTTCTCGTCAGTATTATAAATGTAAAGACGCTTTACAAACCACAGGAAGGCAGTATTGTTTGCGTACCGAAAATAATCGGTTTGTTTTGTTTATGGTTTCCTCTTCTACTCTAGCTACTTGCTCATGCAAGGTTCCTTTGTACGTGGACGTATTTCACCAGAAGCTAAAAAATTTATAAAGCAGTTCCATAATTGACGAAGACTTCATCAATTGGTGGTGTGTCCGCACTACAATCATTTACTTAAGAGATTTCTACTCGATTTTCCGTCTAACTGGTTGCAACTGATGTGACCATTTTCCCCGCGACTTTTGATTTTCTAATGTACTTACAACTGTAAGTAGAACTTAGAACTTAGGCTCTGTAAAGCTTTTTTCCACTTGCACATTAACGTTACAGCGAGTTTACGTTTTCCTCCACAGGTACGACAGTGATAGATTCTTCTATCTCTAAAACGACTCCATCATCCAGGCTGCCTCTGCATCTCGGTATGTTCACGACACAATGATTTGTCTCTGACTCGTTTCTTTGGTTTTCTGGGAATGCAGTCCCACCCGGACTGGGTATTCCCAATATTACACCATCGTCAACGGTTGTATCAACTGTGTCTCTGCTAGCAACACTCTGTTGACTCGTTCGAACTTCATTCATCGCCATCTCATAAGAAGGCAAGAATGGGAATTCGTTTGTCAACTGTGATTCAGAATCCTCAGCAACTGACCGAGATCTGAAAAGCAGGAGGAAAATAATATTAGCAGTTCTTTGGTAATCATTCTAAAATACAATAACAAAATGCCTTTTTTTTTAGCTTCCAAAGGCAACTATTACCATGTTATATGAAAAAGGGAAACAATTTCTTAAGAAAATGTGGTGCCGCGGTGGTGGGGTTACTACAAGATAATTGGGTTATACCAACAAAAGAGTTGGAAGTGTAAATGTGCAACCATAAACAGTCGGATCGAAAGGCGAAGGGCTGACTCTCGAAACGTCAGTTTTAGAAGCTCTTCACGGTGTCTAAAATACATTATCAACTCAAAATATATATGAAAGCGATCTTCGCAGTAATGAGCACTACTTAAGCGATAGTGAAAATAGGGCCGGAAAAAAATTCAGGTCCGAACGGGATGTAAACCCATGAACTCAGTGGATAAAACCATGTCACCATGTCAGTCTGATCATGCCACATATTACAACGTGCTGCGTATCAGTTATTTAAGGGACTTACTTTGCTGAAGCATGTTCTCCAAGTTTAGCTGTAAGAATCCCGCATCGTTATTGTTACAATTATCTTTGCTCTGGGTGAGCGAAAGGAGTTAAATTCAGGTCCGAAAGAAGATAAATAAATGAAAACCAGACGAAAAAAACTCACTTAAAAACTGCATCCCATGCCTTGCACGCAAAAATAAAGAAGACGATCACCTGGATGGCCAGCACTACTCCATATACTATGACAATCTTTACACCAGCTGTGAAATAAAGAGAAAATCAACAGATGAAATCAAGAATTATCAAATAATTATATAACAGCAGTCAATTTTCCTCAGTATATTGCCCACCAAATTATCTAGAAAGATAAAGACCCTTGATCACCATTCTTGGAATTTCCATCTCTCAGTGTGAAGTAAAACATTTTTTAAAGTATCCTCTGGCGCTCACCATTCGCTCTGACTAAGGGCTAACGCTCGAAACGACAGCTTTTTAGCTCTTTACGGTGGCCAATTTACAATTTCAACTTCGTTGATATAACCAAATTCCCTTGTTACCCCCACTGACGCAGCACCACAGTTTCTTTAGAAACTTACCTGCCTTCGTCAAATTTCTCAGTTGAGGTGCTTTCATTCTATGGGTTCACCTCGGTTAGATCTGGACTGACCCTCCCCCCTCCCCCTGTTCTTGATCTCAACTTCTGATCAAGGATAAATTAGAAGTGACAAGCGACTTTTATTTTGTGGGTTCACCATAGTTCAATTTGGACTCCCCACCCACCCTTCCATCTTCTATTTCTTGTTCTCCACTAATGACCAAGGACTGAACGAAAAGCGACTTAAATACATTTAGAGGTAATATGTGCTTAAAGGAAGATCGTGACTTACTGGCGTTATAGTCAGTCCCCTCTTCTTGGTCTAGGTGATCAATGTAGTCTAGAAAATCGCAATAAGAAAGAGAGAAAAATAACAGGTGTATGATTGCATGTAACTGATTTGATGTCTCGAAAATAAGCTCTAAGTAAATAGCTACACAATTCGGAAGAAAGCTGTTCAGTTCCCTTACGATAGAATAACAAAGAAACATTTAATTTTCCTTTAAGATTCGAACCAAAATCGGTTCTTACTCGCCATCTAATGGAGGACCGTGAGACGCATAGATAATATCCTCCAGGCAACATTTTGCTTTTTATCATATGGAAACAAATAGGTTCTATGTCACCTTGGGTCTGTACAGAAAGAGATCACGTTTTGACGCCATCTCTACTCTGTTCCTGAACAGAGGCATGGCGACATAGAATCTCTTTGTTAATTACTGGCGCGAGCCTTCCTTCGCCTGCGGTAAACTATGAAGCCTTAAGCAACGCGAGACGGCGAGAGATCTGCAAGGGGTCTAACACTAGTGCCAGACTCCTTACAAACCACTTCCGCCTTGATCCGCGGGCGGGGAAACGCGCCGTGCAGCGCTGATAACGGGGGTCAAATCGCAAACTATAACTAGGTTCTTATGAGACGACTACTATACCACGCTTGCTGTTAGGATTGACAACGTCGAAAACGTCACTCTAGAGAATCGAATAGGATATGTGGAGAATTTTGAGCTTTGTCGGAGAATAAAGAAATATGTTACTCATGTCTGTCGCGGCTGTGGGAAAATATGAAATGTTACTCAATTTATGGTAATCAAGTGATTAAAGCTCCGAAACAGATAGTGCAAACTGATTTGCTCGACCAACGGGGAAATGAAAAAAAAACTGTATTCAATCACCAAGAGATCATAATAATTTCTTGACAACACTCATACAATAGAACGATTATCAACTACTTTAGAAAACGACGCGGCGTTTTGTCTCGGCCGGTAGACTAATCAGATACCATTCGGAATTTTCAAGCAAACTTGTTGAGCATCGTGCTCAAAGCCGACCTGAGGTCTCCCTCGCGAAATCAAGATGTTAGCAGTTTTTCCCTCTATCGCAGAGAGATTCCCGAACATATACGTTCACAGGTTACAAAGTTTTTACAATTACTCAACCACTTGTCTATTAAAATAATTGATGATCTGGAAGACTGTGTGGCTTTGGTGCTGACCAACCTTTTCTATGTGTAACATGTCGCTAAGTAAATCTCCTTTCTTTAATCAAATGAAGCTATTTTAATTTATATGCGTGTTAGTGTCCTTCCGCCCTGTGAGACTATCGGGAACGCCTCTACAACAACATTGCCTTCAGTCTAGATATCTTTGGAAACCTCAGAGAAGTAACACTTTTCTTTTAGCGGCGACATCGAGTAGGTCATTTCAGTTTGTTATATTTTGTTGAGGCTATTCCTGAACAAGGTTTTATGTTTTAGTCCTTTCCGTTCCTCCATTTTTGTATGTCACGTAGACCACAATCCTTCAGTAGCAATCTTACTCGCTCTCCTTTTCTCGCACGTGGTGAAGCGCCTGTAAAATTTTAGGTACGTAAAACTGTTCCTTTTCTTTCGCCTACCGCCCTTCATCATGTGGTTCTTACGGCTCCCTGAGTCTCGTAATCTTTGATGAAAGGGCGACCCGGGATCGTTTTGTAAATATTGGTACTCTTCGCCGCCATTAAACTCGTTGGTCGAAGCGCTGTTCTGTTATTATTCGACATCTTCGCCGCTGTACGCGTTCGGCCCGGACAATCTAATTCTGACGAAAAGATAACGCTAAAAGGGCCAGCTTTAGAACCTTTGACGGTGGACAATTTACCAAATCAAATTATATTGTACATGTAACTGACACCCCCCACCCCCACCCCGCACAGCCCGCTATTCAAGCAGCTAATTCTGTTTCCCTGGCTTGATTGACCGTCTTCAAGGGTACTCTTTTTAGCTGACATTTGGTCCTCTAATCGTAGCCCTAGGCGCCAAGAAGTATTCCGTAGCGAGAATTACCCGGTGCCTGCGTTCATGTTGTGTCAAGTTCTTTGTCTAAAACCTTAAATTAAAAGACCCTCTAAAACTAAGGTAGGAAACAGGGTGCAGAAACCTGCGAAAGGAATAACAAAGTTATGGATAAAGAGCAAAGGAAAAGGATCATAGAAAAATATCCATTGAGTCATTAAAAAGATATTTTCTTTGAATATATTTTCACGATATCTAAAGCGTGACGATAGACAAGATGTGACGATGCATAAAACGTTACATCAACGAAGAACAAAGAGACTATGCAACCTAGTATTGTATGAATTAATTTCACCGGCCTTATCTCATGGATGAGTGTGCAAATACAATAACTTATTTCATTCGTAGTCATTAGCGAGAGCATGGCGAGGTATCTTTTCAAGCGTTGTGTCAAACTGATCTTGCAAATGAATTCGAAATTGCTTTGAGGATGGAATAAAGGCTGGCGTCGGTGGTATGCCAAAAAGAAAGACAAAAAAACAAAGATAGAAGGAAGCGAACTAAGAGACGAAAGACTAAGTAGGCCTTGACTTCGCAGTCAAACAACTATAAGCATAATAAAAGCTCGAAAAAGATTGTTTCCTTTTAGTGCTATTTTCTCTATCATCCCCAGAGGATACAAAGACTTGTAATTTTGTACAACACTGTTAAGTGGAAAAAATGGATGATCTTGGATTCCTCTTAATTTCATTTGAAAACCGTGACCGTCCAAAATGACCGTCGATTTATAACTTATCAAAATGTGTAATGCTAATTTCGATTATGGAGAAATCATATTTAAGTTTTAAAAAATTAAAAAGTTCAAGAGGGTTTAATAGATTAAGACAGCTTGGGATTGACTCTCGTCAAAACAAATTCCCGGTCCTGAAATGTAATATCCAGTTTAAAATCGGGGATTTTGAGGAGTAAAAGTTACATCCGAACAGGTTTTGCGAAATCCAGTTCCAATTGAGTAAGACCAGAATTTGTTGTTTATACAGAATTTCTTTCAAGGCCTACGCGTAATATTATAAAATAGAAAAACTTCCTCTTCTCGTAAAATCATAAACAAAGAGTTTGTTCGTAAATGCCTACGAACAAACTTACCTCCGTAGGCGGGAGAAGAAAGTATAGCCAACAGCAAGAGCGACTCGTAGAGGTGACCTCTTACATCCATACCAGTTAGAGACAGAGCATCGATCGGGAAATAGTTAATTCTGTCAATAATAATGTTCAAGGCATGTACATAAAAGTTGAGTCACTTGCAAAGTCAGCTCTCAGCAGTAAAGGATCAATAGGGAGCTTTAGCAACAAGAGCGGCAAGGGCAACGAGAACGGCAGAAAACAATAGGCTTAATGAGCAAAAACAATCACCCTGCACGTGCGTTTAACATTTTGGTACATTTCTTTGCCGTTCTCGGCAAAAAATCAACGTGAAATAACCAAATTTTAGGTTTTCCCGAGAACGTGAAGTCTTCGTCGTCTCTCTTTCTTATTCCTTACTTTAACGCCGTTCGAAGTGATACAGTCCCTAAATAGTTCGCCAGCATTTTCCAAGTGAAACACTCCGGAATAATCTCGAAAGAGTTACAAAAACGAAATGTTAGATTTCGACACGACGTTTTCGTTGCCGTCGCCGTCGTGGTTGCTAAAGCTCTCTAATATCATACGGCGGTGCCGTGGCAATAAGGTTTCAAAATGCAAATGTATTGGAATACCTTACGCTCGTGGAGTCTGGCTATCTGCTTAGAACTTTACTACAGTAACACGTGATTCGTGTTTCACGTGTCACGTCAATTTACCACAATGTAAAATACTTCTGAGACTTCTTGGATTCTAAGACTTTTGATGCCAAACAAGCCACCGCCATGCAAGAAAACTTTGGGTTCGGTGAAAATTGCAAGGTAATACGAAGAACCCTGTGTAGAATTCATGCTTCATTTACGTAACGGTAATTGTAAAAAGGATTATGCGTCATAGTTAATGTGCAAATCAGGCTAATATAGTGGCAGGTCAGAGAGGAATTGAACACGCAAATGTCATGATATTCCCAGATGCTACTTCACTACAACTCTACAAATAATAGTTAATGTTAGGCTACAATATTAGTCGGAAATTTAAAACTCAGCACGAATTCGCGTTTGGAATTCAGTAGAACTGTTAAGATTTCTATTTCGTTCAGTTGGCAGATATACGAAACAATGGCGGTTTGTGGTAATATTCTCTGTTTACAAACACTGACGTCAAGATTATTTGTTATTCAAATACGCCGACCGTTGTTGAAAAGGCTCATTGACCCACGAAAAGCACTAAACACTCAAAGATTGAACACTTCCTTGGCTCCATTTCCACAAGCCGACATCCATGATTTTTTTCAGCTTTTCTGCATTTTTATATTGATAAACATAAATCTCAGTTATGGTTGTTGAGCCTGCCATCATCTCTTCTTGGTAACTCGTTCAGGCTTCAGTGTTTAGCCACTATATATTGCAAACGTATCACGGCTTGATTACATCATTGTACCGGCAATACCGTAACTACATATGGATACAGTGGATTTTCTATTTTTCCATTTCTCTATACCCAGGTATGAAACTGTCACTTATGGCAAATACTCTATAAGATTTCTAGGGCCCAGGCTATGGACAAAATTACCCAAGAGTATAAGGGAGGTCGAGACCCTCAAGTCGTTCAAAGGCAAGATACGCCAACTCGGTATAAGGGAGCTCGTGGACGATGGCTGCACACGCTGTAGCCTCTGCTCCCCTTGAATTTTATATATTTTTACTACAAATCCCGTAATTAGTTAACTACAGATTTTCTCTTAGTTTTAATATATATACAACGGTATATAGCTCCCAGTCTTTTCTATTTTTTATGTTCCCAAATTGGTAAGGGATTTTTCCCCAGCAAGACGGCTCTTGACACTTTTAATAAAGCTTTAGTACTATTACTAATTCCCCACGATAGGATGAGCGATATCATTTCTTACAAAGTAATTCTGGAACCCTTGCTTCGCATAAATAAATACACAAACAAACCCCTCGGCTCGGTTTTTAGAAAAATATAATTGTAATGCTTATTATTGTTGATAGCTCTCGTTGCGTCCACCAGTTGAATTAAAGGACCTAAGGTCCTTGAACCTTTTGCATCTCAGTCTATAATTTCTTTCAATGGGTAAAGAAGATAGTTCTTCTGGTAGCATTTACGGGAAATTAAATTTTAAGACCTTTTAGGTTCTTTCTTATCATTGTCATCGTGAAGAGGTGTATCTTTAAAATTTACTTCAAAACCCAGGAAAAAAAAAACCAGGTTTCAAGGGTCAGTTTAGCCAAAACTTGATGATTTTTAGGTGATGTTATAAAGAAACTAATCAAATTCAGAGTATGACATTGTTTCTGTTGTCGTTATTTTCATTCTTCTTTTTACTTCTTGTGTCTCTTGTTCATCTTTGGTTCAAAACCAATCTCGATTCCTGTCGCAGTCTTCGAATAAATAAAAATGCCCGACTATACGAGTACCTTGTAACCATGTATATGGAGCAAAAAACACTCTGACGCTTGATGCGTCTGCGCAATAAAATTCTTGGTACAATCGTAGAAATTCGTCAAAATTGTTCTATGCAATACGTAACAGATGAGACTCAAAGTCTTAAAATTAAGCTTAAGATTATACAGCAAAAACAAGGATGTCGTTTGAGTCAAATATCCGCTTTAATGCGGGATAAATATATCCCATCAATAGCATGCAATATTTAAAATCCCCGCTAGAAATTCAGCTTGTCATATCTTACTTCATAGAGAATCTTTTTGTTTTCCCTTATATAACTCTTCTATAACCTGTAACGTAGGGTGGAAAGTACCTTGGTGAGACTTCAGTCAGCCAGCTTGTCAATCAGTCAGTCATTCAGTCAATCAATCTGTCAATTATTCTGTCAGTCAGTCGGCTAGTCAGTCAGTCAGTCAGTCAGTCAGCCGGTTAGGCAGTCAGTCAGTCAGTCAGTCAGTAAGTCAGTTGAGGCAGTAAGTCACTTAGGTAATCCAAGCAATCAGTCATAACGTTGCATGTCGTCAGTATACAGAATGAATTATTGATACAAGCTTGGAAACACGAGATCATTTTTGTTAGCAAACTTTACTTCAAATTGATCATCCCCAACTGTAGCTAGACCAGATGCAATGTTGGTGAAATCTGGCTATTTCCACGAATTTGAGACTTAAACAGAGGACACAGACAAATTTACATTGATAATGCCTCAATTAAATTGAAAATGTTGAGAGAAGTTACTTAATTTTTCACCAGCTCTTGCATGTTTCACTTTTTATTATTAATCAAAACGATGTGTTTTTGTCTTTAGCCTTTGAAGGTGGTTTGACGTCACTTTTCCACCAGATCCACGCCAGATTGCATGCTGGTACTTTGGTACGCCTTGTTATGGAAGGAACTGAGAGCCTTCGTGTCTTTGTCACTCTCCTTGATGTCCTTTTCTGCTCCCGGCGGAGCGTTAGTTTTGCCCATATTGTTGTTCCGCTGCTCACTTGTCTTGATATCTTCTATGGAGTCATAAAATCCATTGCTTACATCTTTGAGCTGTGCAAGGAATTACGCATAAGTCTCGACATGATCCTCACAGATAAACTACAACTCAAAATATTGTAAAAACCGAATTCTCCGGCAAGGAAATGCAAGTTTTGATGGCTCTAACATGTCAATATCAGATAACGGCTAGGCGATGCTACCAAATGAAAAACTACGAAGCTACTTAATGAGGGAAAGGTCAATCCTAGAGCTCTTTTAAGTGAAAAAATATGTGATATTGAATTTAGCACGCGATAAAAACAAAACTTTGATGGGTCCAACTTGCTCCTCAGTCTCTGTAAACGGTCAGGCGATGCTACTAAATGAATGGCTACAAAGCTAGATGAAGGCGGATAGGCAAATTGTTTGGAAAATTATATAACAACGAATGAAGCATGAGTGTGACTTTGTTGCGGCAAAATTTTTCAAAATAGTCTTGTAGTCGAAGAATATCGAGAATTTAACACGTTCAATAACTTGCATTATAATGATCCTGATATTGTAATCATGGATCCCTTAAAACAATGTTGCCAATGGTGACGAGAGATAAACATAGAAGACTTGACATAATTGACTTCTAAGGTCCCGAACAGATGATGATGGTATCCAAATCATCACTCATAACTTACGGAATTCAACAGTGAAAACATATCCATAAAAAAAAAAATAAAAATAAAAAAAAAAAGAAACTTTGAAATGTAATATCTATTCCAGCACTTTGCAGTTTTGCAAGGCAGGTAAAGGATTTTTCATAGCAAAAATTAATTCAAAATTCAGTTAGCCTCTTGCCTGACCTTAAGCTGCTCTGGCTTGTCTTCAGCGTGCTCGCTGGACCGGTACATGCTCTGATACTTCTCCTCCGTCTCTTCCAGGTCATATCCTTTTCCAATCCTAGAGAAAGGAAAGGAAAAGAAAACACTACGCTTCTAAAAGTCATCTTAAATATCAATTTATTAAAAAAAAAAGTATAGATAGATTCTAACGAGGAGGGTGTTTAATTTACTGAGATCACATCGTCGAAAAGACAATAATAAGAACAACATCGACAACAACACAATCTAAACAACATCAGTCCAAGAGAGCTGCGAATGAAACAAACTCACTTATAAAAGGAAAACGACATTAAATTAATCTGAACTGTTCTGGCATGAGATCCATAAAAGACTCTATCTCATTTATTTTTCGATTCAGTCATGTTATTTAAGAAAAGACAAGCCGTGACTGTGCTCCGTTCTGTTGTAAAGCACGCAGGAAGCGGTTAGGGCACGAAAGAAGTATGGAGGAGAAAGACTCTGATAGAGCACGCCCTTTCAGCCAATGACAGCTGCGTTATATCTCAACTTTATTATAATATCCATTTATTCTGAACTATTTAGTTTCTATATCATCGTCTTTTGAAAAACCTTTGAGATCCTCACTTTGCAATTCGGGTTTTCAGTTAAGGTAACGCTAGGGAATTAATAAGAATGGACTATAACTCGTTAATAAAATGTAATCAGTATTATAGTAAGGTTCAATATACCGCTTGATAATCTTGATATTTGATTTCAGAGTCTGGGGTACTCACCCGTATGTAACCTTGGATCGTCTGATCAACATCAAAGACATCATGACGCTGATCAGAAAAAACAAGCTACACACCAACAGGAACACAATACTCATAATCAGCAAAGTTTCTAAAAAATAAAAAGTGATAGACGAAACAAAATAAGAATAGCTTTGTTTATGATTACTCGAAGGGTTTACAATATACTTACTGATACAATTTCTCAACAACAAGATCTAAACGCAAATTCACCAAGTGATGACACTAATTCTCTGGTAACTTTGTCAGTATATCGAGCTTTATTCCCTGGTTGATAATTTATCATAACTGACGTGACCGTTCAAAAGAGGTTAAATTGATTAATCACTGCCGTTAGTCAAAGGGTTAAAATCCATTCTTCACTTTTTTTGTTTTAGCAACTTTATTGTTCGAATTTTCTCTCCCTTTGCTATTTCTATTGTAAGTAGCAAAACGGACAACTGGAAAAACAACAAAAGCATTATCAGGTACAACAATCAACTTTGTAATACTGTTTGGTTTAATTTGAGTGTAAAGCTTTAGAACGTCATGAATTGAAAGTCCTTCGAAGTTTTAACCGTAGGTCATGGGGACTACTTCGACGGAAAGCTAAACCGTGTTAGCAGCAATTTTGTGCTTATCAAATCTATGTAAGTGGAGAATCAACAGATCTTCAACCTACCATCTTTTCCCTTTCCAACGACGTACGCTTTTTCTGCAAGTAAACAAGAAAAGGTTGCACTTTGCCACTTTTTAACATGATCGATGGCTATAACATGAAGATAAAGTTAATCTTTTTTTCATTTTAAGGAACTCATAGGGAATCGATCGTTCAAAGAAATTAAATGCTATTGCTTCGTCGCACCTAATTTAATTTATTAACAGCATTTTGTTTCTTCCTGTGCGGTGAAATTATAAAGCATTCGGCGAACTCAGCTCGACAACAGATATAAGTTGTTCTTTTTATTTCTTTCTTTATTTTTTTTTTCTATTCCGGAGTTCAAGTTATAACAGCAATTGATAAAAATGTCCACAGAAACAAGCCAAAGTGTATTTCCCATTTTTTGGTTTAGCTTTCGAAGTTCATACTAGCAAAGATAAATGACCTCAAGTACAATCGATTTACAGGTTCAAATGTAAAATGCTGCGGAAGTTGAGGCTACAATATGTTTGAATCAAAGCATCAAAAGTAAATATTTAGTCATGGTTTTGAATTGCCATTTTCATACCACACTCACAAACACTTATACAAATAATTTGTTATTTCCATTTAGTTTTGAAAATCTGCATATATTGTCATTTATTATTAATTTCATGTACGGTAAGGAACCGTTAGAGTATATGGAGAGACGGGGAAAGCGTCAAAGCGTTAACAACGATGTAAAATACATTTATAAAGCAACCCAGTGTCGAAAGAAAGTTAGATATTGTATCTGGTTAACGACTGATTGCTCGAAATGCTTTCATTAAAAAGGAAAGGTATCATTGTTCTTAAAAGGAGATTCTGATGTATCTAAAAAAGAAAAAAGTTCTCTATACAAATCTATCCAGGAGGATTATTTTCTGGAGAATGCATGATCCGATAATTATCGTGACAAATCTATTAACATTATCCGTATTATTCCGTGAAGATGCAGGGAAAATTTTGAAGGATTATGGTGGGAATCACGCCGAAACCATTGAGATCAGTGTGAAAGTTTTATAACAAACAGCTTAGTTCCTAGAGAGATATCATGTAGATAATTGAACCAAGAGGAAAAATACCTACCTGCAGCCACAGATGACGCGAACGTAAACGCTACCGCGAGGTGCAACTCGTTGACTTTGAAGATGGTCCGCATCATGCTGGATCGACTGTACTTGCTGTACTTACCCTGGACGAGGCTATCCTGAGAGAAAATATAACTTTAAGAAATGTTGTTTCCCCTGGATTGTTAATATTTGTGTCTTAATTAAAACAATACCTTTGATCTGGGAAAAAACGATAGACAGAGGCAAGAATCTTTCGACAAGGAGTTCGAATGCTGCTTACAATATGCAATCGCATACTGTTACAATATGCAATCGCATATTGCTTCAGCAAAGCTTCTGATGACCACCCTGAATGAATAATTGTTATCTAAACTTCTTCGCGATTGAGTACACTGCATTCCTTTACATAGTCATTGATTTAATCATAGTCGAGTTTGAAAGTTGAAAAGCTAGCTTCGAGGCTTGTTTCATTTTTATGGCGACACGTTTAGCATCTGTTTGAGTCTCGAGCATTTGTCTTCCCTGTCTATTTAAAAATACAATGTTGCCAGCGATTAACGGAGATTCAATACAAATAACGATCACGGAATTTTATAAAGATAATCGATAACGTTGGTCGATTACCAATAGATGTAAATTCATTTATTTTAGCAAAATCGAAAAGAATGTCACTAACAAGTTTACTGAATCTGTCCCTGTTGAGTTTTCAATTTTAATGCATTTACGTTTTATTGACTTTGGCGACTGATTTACGATTCTAGGCATAAGAGACCTTAAAGAACATTTACAGTCCATATCTACAACTATGGGTTTTCAAACGGTTAGACTATTTCAAACGCCTTATACATTTAGTTATCATCGTAACTGAGCGGGCTCTATAGCGTGATCAAGCCACGCGGGGATGTTAGAGAACATAAGAGTTGTAATGGAGCCTGCGCAGTTAGGGGCTTGCTATTGTATTTATAGCAAGCGTATTCGATGTGAACCTCTATTCCCGCCGTAGAGAGAACTAGTGATCTTTTAACGCGCGTCGATTAGTGGTGTACATTATTTGTTGTCACTGTGGTAGTTTTAAAAAACAATACCATTCGTGGACGGCTCAGTCTCATAAATTGGCAAAGTTGACCTGCACAAGAAGGCAGATCATGGGAAATTCACAAGCGTTGGTGTTCCTTGTTTCACTCTTTGCATCTTCCTAACCTACATCTTGAAATAGCTGCCACTTACAACGTTTTTTTAATTAAACAGTTGATGGTTTACTAATCTCTTTGCAGATAAGCTATCCGTACAGCATTGGAAAGGAGAATGGTGGTTTGTGAGTCACGAAGAAGTCATGAAGTACATTTCTCGTCCTTGTTCATTTTGATATCTTTGTGAAAAAGAAAAAAAGTTTTGAAAGAGTAAGAGAATCCTGCTAAGATTTAATTGCTGATTTGCTAAAATTTTTTGACAAAAATGGTTCATTTTTCCTCTTGAGATTCAGAGTAAATTCAGAGTAAATGAAAAATGGCACTTTTATGGAGTTGCTAGAGAAAATAATCATCCCTAACAATTTCTTTCACAAGTTTTGGGCTATTCTTGTACCCAAATCTTCCACGGCCAAGCACTGCTAAACAATGATCCTACATTTCAGGTGCACTGGAGGATCTTGGTAAGTGAATAGTTTTGGGCTTCACCATGTAATATTTACCCCAGGTGTAGCATTAACTATCGGTAATTCCACTTGTGACGCCGGTCTAATTTTCAACCGGTTTTAGAACTCCAAATGTTCGAGAATAATTTTCTAATTGGAATGATTTTTATAGTGCGTATACCAAGCTATTGCCACTGTTGTCAGAATTTCAAAAGAATAGTGGAATATGTAGTGTTATTATCCAATGTGCTTTGTAGAGTACAAATAACACGCAAGACGAGTACAAATATCACGCGATATTTGTACTCCAGAGATATTCACGAAATGCGCAAAATAACAATTTTATTAGACTCGTTGTTTGTATTTTGACTCGCCCTTCGGGCTCGTCAAAATACGGCGCAACTTGTCAAAATATACGGCGATACCACACAGCAAAACGTCTAATAAGATATATATATATATCACTCGGCCAAATGGATAAGGATAGTACAAAAGAGCCAGCCAATCATCGATCGTAAATTATTTTGGGTTAGCATTAGATCGCATCAAATATTCATTCTTACCACTGACATTCTTTACACAATTACCCTCCTTTGACAATGTCACAGCACGCTCAAACTTCGTGTAGTTTAACCGAATCAAATACCCGGATGAAATTTCATTATTCGTAACTTACGATCCGCGAAAGATATGTAAAAGCTACATGTTGTTCTGCCGATTATTAATCCGCTACGGTATTAAATCAACCTTGAATCCTAAAAAGCAAACAGGCATATTTGTGTCCTCTGCTTGTAATACGGATTTGATCTAACGTTTTCATCGATTTGACGCCATTTAGAAACATCTTTTTAAAACAGTAAAGTAAGTTAGAAAACTCTCCTGTTGTAAAATGATGATAACATTTGGTGAGAATAACCTTAGCGCAGGGAGCGTGTTTATGCTGAATGTTGCTATTTCTTTCGATAGGTTAAGATCACCGACGATGACAGGGAAATTATCGGGAATCGTTTGGATTGGTTTACTATGCGGTGTTTCGTTGCCATTCACCAAAGGAGGTGGGTATTCTCCTAATTTTAATTTTTATTTCCACAAAGGTCTAAAGTTTACTCGCAAGCGCTGTCACGAACTAATTCTAAGTGTGCTTCCATATACCTCCTTTGTGTTAAGTTCACAAGTCTACTTCATCAGAAAAGATATTTCTTCGCCATATCATTAACCACTCAGCCCTCAGTCTCGTCAGGAAAGACGAACATTCAGCGGTTTTGACTCCAATTACTTAGAAAACACGATTCTTTTAATTAAATATATATGTTTTTCTTGTTGCCATCGCTGTATGAGATTTTTTGTGCGTTGAACCATTAAATGAAAAATCTAGAAGCTTTCTTCAATATTCTTATGACTTCAAATCTGTATGCTGTGATTATTTCGCAGAATAAACAGTTCACGTTGTCTTGGTCAAGTTTAGTAAAAGTTTGACTTTATCTCTTTTGACGTTTACTTCTGTATTGATAGGAAAACAATCAGTGAGAGTAAATTTCACTAATAAGTTCTTAATTTTAAGGGAACAGTGACCTATTTTGAAACCCCACGCTTCATATACCTGAAAAGAAAATAATAGTATTGCCAAAAGACCCCAATCCCGAATTAAGCTAACTTAAATTAGACTTTCAGTACCTTGATACTTGTTATTTACATCTACCGTGATACTTGTTATATACATCTATAAATAAAAACAAAACTATTTCATTCATAAATATGTTTTTTCTGGAATTTTCTATGGACCCACAAAATGGTGGAAAACTTTATTTTGTTATAGCTTCCCTTGATGTGGTTATGTTTTCCATATGTGGGTATATCTCGTTGATTTTTGTTGACTGTAGCTCCTGAACTCGTCACATTAATTAAATTCAAATTCATAACTTTGTATTAAGTAAATATTAGTTTGATCTGGTTACTCAACATGCTCCTGATTTTTTTCCCCAACCGTCTATGTTCATGCGAAATACTCAAATTGTATCGGGGAAATCAACGCATCTTTGTTGAAATTATCCTCTATAGTGTGAAGACTGCGATAAATCTCGTCATTTATCTGGCAGTGAAGTAAAATTTCAATATACTGAGATCTGACATAACTCGTAACAGTACAAATTATCTGAAATAAAATATATTTCTCAGATGTAAAAAAATTTGAAAATGGACCCTGATGCTCGTTCAAAACGTTCAAAGCAGGTTCCTAAGCTCTCGAAATTAGGTAGCCAACCACACTTACACCCTGATATACATTCCATACTGTTCTCTATATTGTTCTCTATTGTTCTACATACTGTTCTTTGTACATTCCTTGTGAAACTTTCAAGAATAATTTCTTTTAACAATCAAGAGCTTCTTCAAATGGCCACATTTTCTTTATTCTTGCGACCCTCGTGTATCATTAAGGAGTGATATTGCGTAGAGAAATTGGGTGTTAGTCACTCTGAAAAGTCTAAAGGTCAAAAATATTTTCCCTAGCGGCTTTCTTAACAACATCTATTCATAGCTGATATACCCTTTAGAAACGTATTTCCTTGTACAAATCCTTTTGGAACTTACGAATTCCACCAGACGATACTATTGTATCCAGGGGGAAATTCCGTGCCTATATTGATATCTAGGGTTTATATAAAACAAAGGAAAAAACAAAACAAAATGATGCTGTTGTATTGTCTCTATCATGTCGAACAGAAACGATTCTGTATTGCTGCACCAGCCTATATGCAAATGAGCCCACTTCTCTCCTCGATGAGTTAGTTTTCGTCTACCGTGATTATCAAAATGTAAATTAAGAGTTATTTTCATGTGGTGTGTTAGAGCAGTTCTTTTTGTTGCTTGAGTTTTAATTTTTCTCTTTTATTTCCTTGCAGCATCAGAATACATCATAAACGAGAAATACGATGGTATGTGTAAACATTGATTCAGAAGATTTGTCAGTACTAATGGGGTCAGTATACAAACAACAGCGCACCTACCCTCTTCAAGATAATCTCTCTACCCACACCCCCTCCCCCCCATTTAGACATCAGTAAACTGATGACAATTTAGGTTTAACGTTGAATTGAGTAAGGGGAGGGATATCTTGACATTGATCAAAATATCGTACCATTTAGTTCTCAGCACTGCTGTGAATATTAACTTTGCAGTTGATGTTTAAGTATCGCGTAAGATTCCTGTGTGCGGAAAAAAGGATAGCATTTTGAAAGCAGCCATTAGACCACCTTGTACTGAACAATATCAATTAAGAAAATGCTAAAATTGTACATGCAGCTACATTACATGGAAAAACGTCATAGATCTTCTAAAAGGTCCATCGGATTAGACACTGAAACACGGATTACAATTGGAACGTTCAATTTTGCCTACACTATAAAGAGAAACACACTCACAAGTATAGATACAGGGGCCTGTAGGTCAGCAGGAACTTTGAAGCCAGTTTGTTGTAAAACAGCCATAAGAAACACAACACCGCCGGGTACGAAAACTCCGAAATTGCGTTGTGGAAAAAAAAAGGTCACGGCCCTCAACCTCCTGAACTTTGCTACAGTGTTGCTGACTCTGAGGCTAACTGAGGTATACGGAGGAGTAGTGATATGAAATGACTCAAAGCAAATACCTCAAAAGTTCGTATTAACAGAGATTTAGTAATACATAGACAGGTAAAAACGAGTGATATAATATCCCGACGTTTCGGCGACTTCATAACGCCATCATCAAAGGTACAAATGAAAATAAAAAATAAAATTAACAAATGCGCGCGTGGATAGCCATAAGAGCACGTCATCTTCAGTACGCAAGCACTACGACAACGACCACGCAGGTGCGGTCCCTGAGGACCTTCTTAGCTGTTTCAAAGTTCTCAAGAAGTGTATGAACAAATTCGATTGTCTTGTCAACGAGATGCTTTACATCAAACAATTAACACCGAGTCTGAACGTGCAAACGGATTCTATCCGTGCTTAAGTATTTGTGTAGCTACCTCCCCTATGCAAATTACTTGTAACTCTTGAATTCGCATTTGTTAATTTTATTTTCATTTGTACCCTTGATAATGGCGTCATGAAGTCGCCGAAACCTCTGGATATTATATCGCTCGTTTTTACCTGTCTTCCCCAAAAGTTACAAACAAAATTCGGGTATAAGAGAAAGAGTACTGACCTAGACTGATTCAAATTTTTTATCGAACAACACTGTAGATCACAATAAACTACCCATAATTCCAGTAAAACAAACCTAATCCTCCAATCCATGCCGGCAAAATAGCTATTTTTGCCTGTTCCGTGATGCATGCTCCACTGTTAGAAATACCATTTTTTCTCTTTCGTTTATTGTTTTTCAGGTATTCTTGTGGACTGTGCCATTGCATTCCTTGTTCTGAGCATTATTTTTTTGATTCTGTTGCTCATTACCACAGTGTTCATTTACAGGAGGATTGACGATAGTGACGAGAGGTAGATAATATAGCTATATAACTATTTATTACACGACTCGGGCAGTCAGAAGGGCCAATAACTAAAATCAACCAATCAAAATGCTCTATTGCCGGTCAATATTCTCAAGTATTGGACCGGGCACTGTCCCGAATTGTCCCGAATGATACCGCACTTGTGTCCCTTTGAACTTCTGTCGTATAATATATCTCTTATTAACCAAGCTTTCTCGGGACCGTACTGGAAGAATATCGACCCTCGGTCTTTTTTGTACGGACCTCGCTGCGCTCGGTCTTTACTGTCAAGACATCGGGCCGATATTCTCCCAGTACGGCCCTCGCGCTTGGTTAATAAGATATATTTACATTTTGAGATTATGCCTGTAACTTCCTTCATTTAAGCTGACCTGACCTGTACTGTTTCAGTAACATAATCAATTTGACTCGGTCAGTTGTGAAATCAAGGAGTTTTGCTCTTGCCAACTCTTTTTCCACCCATTTGTTTCTCCTACCAGAACTTCGAGAAAATATGGAGAGAAAGACAGATCGCTATTCGTCTCCTACGCTGTCTGGGTTTGGATTTCCCGAACTTGTGAACGTTTCTTGAGTACCAAAGAAGGATACAAAAGAAAAACACTGGAAAAAATGTAGTTCCATAGTATATTTACATCACATTACTCAGTTTAATTTACGGCTGATGACTTTCTGTGCCGAACACTAAAATACTTATTAGTCTTTTCCCATAACTTCACTAACAGCTGATGCCCTTTGACACCTAAACTTCCCCCCCTCAAAATACTTATATTAAATGAGATGACTTGCTGATGTTAGATACTGACGACTACGTCACTAATCCATGTCTCAATAGAGGATCATGCCAAGGTCTTGTGAATGGATTCAAATGTTATTGCCCAGAGGGATATTTCGGGAAAATGTGTGAAACAGGTTTGTGACTCTACGACAGTTTTTGCAGAACAAATGTGGTACCCTCTACCAATGAAACCTTCAGTTTGTATG